TAGTTTAGCATCAGATATTTGTGATTATATATCGAAACTGCCACAGTAGTTTCAGCTGTGCTACTCTACCAGGAAGGTCATGTCAGGATGTAATAGTATAGTTTAGCATCAGATATTTGTGATTATATATCGAAACTGCCACAGTAGTTTCAGCTGTTCTAATCTACCAGGAAGGTCATAACTAGTATATTTCAACTTGTCACGAATTACTTTACCAATTAAAGTGTAATGGTTAAACTAAATGTTCCATTTATATATATTTTCTAAGACTCAAACACATAATTCCTTTGATGGTTATTCTGTATTGTAAATTCTACATGCTTTATGTATCTATTTTTCAGTTACATTTTTTATAACCTTGTAGTGTATTGCCAGTTTGTTTGTTTTTTCTCTTTTCTTTGTTTTTCTCCAGCTTGAATTTACTAAACCACGAGTCTAAAATGACCAAAATAGGAGTACGGTGTAATAAATGCCATCAAATGTACATATAATTCTATAGTTTCTGCAAAAAAGTTTAGAGTGTGAAAAACAATTAATTAGAAACAGTTACGTTAAGCTTGTAAAGGTACGATATATAAATATTAGAATGCATATTTACACATAATCGTTAACAAAGTGCAAGAAAAAAAGTTGGAAGGTTTTTCGTATCATAAATCTCCATCTTGCTACAAATGAATTTTGAAGTCTGTGGTTAGTCAGTAAAACACCCTAACTTTATCAAGCATGTATAAGTTTGCAGATAAATAGCTGTAATAGAACTAACAAAATTGTGCACAAAAGTCTGGATTGTCAACTGTGATGTTTTGTTTTTTTTTTGCAAAGTTTACTGACAATAGTTACAAACCATGTCCTCTCATTACTTAGTTTTACGAGATATAATTTCATTATCAGTTGTACTTTTAGAAATAGTAACGTGCAATGTAAAATTAGGCATTATATTGCAGGGATAAATTAACATCTGACTAAATATATAACTAAAACAATGTACCTTATTGTGTAAAAGAATACATGCATGGTATTCCGTTTATAATTTCTGCATCACTTTAGTGAGAAATATTACTTTTTAAAGCTTTTCTTAAAGAAAAGTTTTTTGATATGCATAAAACACGTACTTGCCAAACTATCCTTAGAATTTCCTCATTGACTATAACCGTATCTCATCTATAGCCTTTAATTACATAACTTCAACTGACTCAATGCACACAGAAATAGAATGAAGAAACTGCTATATCATATCGCTTAACTATTTCAAGCATTCTATGACAGGTGAACCTGACATTTTTATAGCAGTTAAGATATAAAACTGTTATTAGTTTTCAATGAATTGCATAAAGACATTGTTACGGCAAAACTAAATGTATTCATGAAAATTATTTACTGCTGAATAACTTCAAGTGATGCTTTAAGATTGGATGGACGTTCATAATTAAATACATAATATAATGTAAATATAAGTGGTCTGGATTCTTCAAAAACAACTGATCCCAATATAACAAATTTCTCTGCACAGACAAAGCTACTAATTTACGTTAGCAACTACCTGAGAAACTATGTATTTTCTTGAATGATGTGTTTTCATGCTATACTCACAAACATTAGAAACTACCTGAGAAACTATGTATTTTCTTGAATGATGTGTTTTCATGCTATACTCACAAACATTAGAAACTACCTGAGTAACTATATATTTTCTAGAATGATGTGTTTTCATGCTATACTAATTTACGTTAGCAACTACCTGAGAAACTATGTATTTTCTTGAATGATGTGTTTTCATGCTATACTCACAAACATTAGAAACTACCTGAGTAACTATGTATTTTCTTGAATGATGTGTTTTCATGCTATACTCACAAACAAAAGGTCGCATTAGCTCTGAAACTCAAACCGCACAGTGTTTACGGAATTTATTGGAAAAACTAAAGCAAAATCACTGCATAATCAGATGGAACTGGCCATGAGAGTGGACTTTGACTGATTTATTGCAAATAGTAAGGCGGGAGAGAAAACAGAAAGTGATGGATGCTGTTCATTTAAACTTTACCCAGTAAGACATTTGACCTCTCGCAGCTTCCGTGTATGCTTGTAGTAGTCTACGTGGCAGGCTAGCAATCAGCTCATTCTGGCCATCTTTTTGGATGTTAGATGATGTCCCATTTATCAACTGACGTTCGAATAGCAAGGGAAAGCAGTTCTCAGGCATGTTGTATTGGATCCATGCCAAGGGAAAGCAGTTCTCAGGCATGTTGTATTGGATCCATGCCAAAGGAAAGCATTTCTCAGGCATGTTGTATTGGATCCATGCCAAGGAAAGCATTTCTCAGGCATGTTGTATTGGATCCATGCCAAGGGAAAGCATTTCTCAGGCATGTTGTATTGGATCCATGCCAAGGGAAAGCATTTCTCAGGCATTTTGTATTGGATCCATGCCAAGGGAAAGTGTATATAATTCCACGCGTTCGATTATTTCCTTTTGAATGCCATCATCAATGATCTGACACGATGTGGGTACTCAGTATCATGCATAAAGATGTAGTTATCTCCAACATCATCTTTCCTTCCACATAAACTTATGCATTCATGTCGTATTCAACATGAACAAATTAGGTACGTAAGCATGATACCCATCCAAAACATGAGTGCTCTTCTATCAAAAGGGACACCTTATTGTGTAGTCCACAGTCTGAACTTACCAACAGATAGCTTCTAAACATTCAACCTGTTATTGTCTGACGAAAGATGAATCCTGGATTCATCAAAAAAAAAAAAACAAAAAAAAACGTTGCTCTACTTTTGATGTAGCAGATTCTGTTGGTTGAGAACCAATAATTTGTATACCTGGATAGCATTTTATCAGGCTATGACACTGGGTGAAGTCACCGGAAGCATTTACCCCCTGCCATCTTACCACACCCATTCAAATATTGTTATAGAATATTATTCTGTAGTAATTTCATTAAGATGCTACGCTGTTCGGCCTTTGGATGCAGAAACATATTACCCAAGGGAGGTGGAGAGACGTTCACTTGTAAATATTAATTCTAGTTACCATTCAAATATTATTATAGAATATTATTCTGTAGCAATTTGATTAAGATGCTACGTTGTTCGGTCTTTGGATGCAGCAACATATTGACCAAGGGAGGTGGAGAGACGTTCACTTGTAAATATTAATTCTAGTTACCATTCAAATATTATTATAGAATATTATT